TTTTCTGCACGGGAATGGCATCAGCTTTAGAGCAGCAGCCAAGGTCTGGAACATAGTTTTTGCTGTAGATGAGCTTATTGGGAAGACTCCTCTCTTATTATTTTTACCAACTCCTATATGATGACTCAGGGACCATCCTCAACTGTTAATTAAAGATGGCCTCACTGCCATCTGTAGGATGATAAATGTATTTTTGAACATGTTAAAGGACTTGATCCTCTATAAGATGACTGACTCTTAAGTTGCATTTGTTAACCATTATATCTTAGGACTTTCAGTTTTGTCCACATTAAGTTGCAGCCTTAAAAGTCATAAATAAGATTCCCTGCATTCTGCCCAAAGGTTGGCCAAAGTCTCAGCATCTGCTTTGATACCCTGCAGGGTAGAGCCTTTCAGAGGCCCTCTGTGGCAGGCTCCTGTTCTGTTCCCCGTTTTCCCCTTCTTCTGATGTCCTCTTAGCCTTTCTGAATGGGAGTTGAGCATTTTAGCCAGAGTCCTCCTTCTTGATTAGTTTCTTTAGGTGTACAGATTTTAGTAGATTTATCCTATATTATATGTCTAATATCCACTTATGAGTGAGTACATACCCTGTGTGTCTTTCTGCTTCTGGGATACCTCACTCAAGATAATCTTGGAAATCTTATGAAAAAAGTGGGAAATAATAAGACCTGGATAAGACAGAAACTCCACAAAGAGAGCAACAGAACCAAAAAAGTCTGGGCACAGGGGTCTTTTCTGAGACTGATACTCCAACCAAGGACCATTGATGGAAATAACCTAGAACCCCTGCACAGACATAGCCCATGACAGTTTAGTGTCCAAGTGGGTTCCATAGCAATGGGAACAGGGACTGTCTCTAACGTGAACTGATTGACCTGCTCTTTGATCACCTCCCCCTGAGGGTAGAGCAGCCTTGCCAGGCCACAGAGGAAGACGATGCAGCCAGTCTTATGAGACCTGATAGTCTAGGATCAGAAGGAAGCAGAGGAAGACCTTCCCTATCAGTGGACTTGGGGAGGGGCATGTATAGAGAAGGGGGAGGAAGAGGAGGACTGGGATGGGAGGAGGGAGGTGTTCATAAGGGGATACAAAATGAATAAAGTGTAATTAATAAAAATTATAAAATTACTAAAAAGTCATAAATATAGTCCATTAAAGTGAGAGCATAACAGTTTCCTGTATGATATAGTATATAAAAAGTCCATAGCTTATAAAAGTCTAAGGCTATATTATAGATTAATAATATTTCCATTTTTAGAAAACAAAACTCAAGTATATTTTAACCATTTGATGGTGAAGACATAGCACAATAATCAAGTTTTAATATAAATAAATGCATCTAAAATTAGTAGATCTTAATTTAGTGTATTGGTAAAAACTTGTATGTAGTAACCCCTGAGTTATGAGTTTTAAAACCAACAATATAGTAGAAGAGTATAAAACAATTTTAAAATTGCATTTGAATTTATTATAGCAAACCTATTAGCCAGAAAGCCTAGTGGTGAATCTGGATGATAGGCAGCTCATGGCAGGGGAAACAGCGTTTATTAATTTAGGAACTGATAAAGACATAGGCACTTAGACATAATTTTAAATTAGCTTAATTTGAATAGACCTTTATAACTTTGAAATTTTAGCATTATATAAAAATATTTTGAACAAAGGTTGAATCATGTATATAGAGCATGTTCTAAAATTACTTTAAATTTATATAAAAATACATACCCATTTAAAATGAGACTCGTTTTTATTCTAAAAGGAGATAAAATATACAGTTAGTTATGACCAAAGAAATCTTATGAAATGTAAACCCAATGAGCAAATTATATAAATTATTAGATAAGAATTTACAGCATTGTAAAATATTTTTTAAAGAGCAGAGTGTACAGAAATCAGGAAGAAAAGATTTTTAAAAGCTTGGAAGTAGGGGCTTAGAGGTCAGAAATATTTCGAAAGCCAGTATTTAGAATGTGCAGCTTGGAGTTTTACAGAAGTGGGGGAGAGGTGAGCATATGGCGGGCTTCTCTATTTTAACATCAACATGGCAGCTCACCATGTACTGTGCGCAACTGCGGTGGCACAGCGAGTCCAGGTGCTTGCTCGTAGGAAGGCTGTCTAGTCCTGATTCAAAACTCTCTGTGTGAAGGTGGCACAGCTGATCAGAATTCTGAGTAACTGAAAACCCTCCTCTGCAAGCCAGCCTCTCATTGCAGGCTTTCAGTGGGAGATTTTCAACCTCGCCCATGGGGCTTGAGGCAGTGGTGCAATTTAAAACCATCTGTGTGTGTACAGGGTCCTCATCAATTGCTTACCTAACATCAATAGTTTAGAAGCAGGCTGTGTCTGAGTATGAAGCAGCAGTTTCAGCTTCTGGCATGAGTGTTTTAGTTTCCCAAAGCCGATTTTGGCACAGCTTGGAGCACATGGCAGGAAGCAGAGTCTGAGTGGCCAGAGGGATAGGTGCACACAGTAAGGACAGGGAGGCTGAGAGAAAGTGTAGGTTTTAAGGTTGAGTGGTGGTTAGAGATAGGTAGAACAGAAGAAAAATCTGTTGCAAGTGTCATGGTCTGGTTAAGGGTTCCTGGTGTGCCCAGATCAGGTGCTACTAGGAGAACCCTTCCTGGCCCATGCACCAGTGTTAGGACCAATGAAATGATGGTGCACACAGATTTTATATGAAAGAGGTTTATTTGATGAGATGGAGAGGAGAGAGTGAGACATGATGGGGGAGGGGAGGGGATGCCCTCACAGAGAAAGGGGAGAGAGCAAGATAGCAAGAGAGTAAGAAGGCAAGAGAGAGACAAAGTTGTGGATTGATCCTTTTATGGAGCAACTGAACCATACCTGCCAGGTGTGGCTACCTGGGGGTGAACACATGATGACACCATAGGTTGCTAGGCAACCCAGAAGCAGGCTGCCTAAATACTAACACAAAGACTTACCAGAAATGTTCTATACCTTTGGGGCCTGTCCTCCTTAACAAGAACCAGAAACCAGGACCAGAACTGAATTCCGTACACAAATTTACCTCCTAGGTGTGTCAAAAGAACTTTGTCATTTTTCATGTTTTGGAAAACAGGTATCATTCCAGGAGGCACATCCCCTGCAACTTCTCTCTGACAAGGAAGACTAGGAAACAAGATTGAGTCCCATGGAGTTTTGGGGATCTCTCAGGGGCCACCAATGAAATAACCCACAAGAGATAGTTATTCACAATCATGCTGATTATGACAATTAAAAGTTTTAAGTCATTTTTATTGACGGCCTGCTTAAGAGTGGGTTTGTGAGTCTGATAATTCAGTCTCTTGCAGCAATAACTCAGGCAGCAACACAAAGGGTTTTTGTTTGGTTGGTTGGTTTTGTTTTGTTGTTTGGTTTTTGTTGTTGTTGTTTATTTGTTTGATTTTTGAAGCATGGTTTCTCTGTGTTGCCCTGGTTATCCTTGAATTCACTATGTAGACCAAGCTCACTTCAAACTCAGAGATTCCCCTGTCTGAGTACTGGGATAAACGACATGCACCATCACTGCCCAGCCCATGGTACAAAATTTTTAAAGCCAAAATGTTGCCACTTCAGAACAACTTTACTAAATTGGTGGTAACAGACCAATAAAAGTAAATTACAATTTCTTTTCTTAGCATAATTAACTAAAACACACTAAATTTCTTCTTGCATGTAACAAAATTTGAGGGAAATGCATAAGACAGTTTCTTTTTCTTTGGCTGGGGCCTAGATTCCAGCTGCTTTCCTGGAACTTGGCTTCTGGAAAAAGAATGGGGGTTCTGTTTCTCTCAGGGGCAGCTAGGGTGTCTTAGGGTGAGGCCTGAGTTCATTACGCTGCAGTTGGAAAAGGTTTTTCAGAGAATGTTGCAGTTTGGCTCTTTTAGCATGAGATCGCCAGTGGCCATGAAAGCTTGGGTGTTTCAAAACCTATGGTGATACCAGAGTGTTACAGCTCTTGATCAAGCTGCTGTGCCAAGCATGACCGAAGTGCAGACCAAGGCCCATGCCTAGTTGGCTTGCAGCCAAGATACATGCCTGATGGGGCCCAGGCCTAGCAAGGCCCAGGCCCAGTGAATCAGAGGGCAGGCTGGGTGAGACTGGACCCCGAGGAGGATGAATGATGAACCTCAGACAGTCTTGAAGTGGGAAAGCTTGAACCTGCATATACCTTTACTCATGTGAAATCAAGGGCAATATAAATCCTTCACAGAGGGAGGGATTCTGAGTGTAAATGTATTTGATTCAATGGGGTCAGGGGATCAGGGATCCAAAATAGTCCTATCACAAGAAGGAAAATGCAGTAATTATCCTACTATGGAGGGAGGGGGAATCTCCGAATTCAATTGAAGGTCATGGCTGGACTGAGATCCTTAGCAGTGTTGGGTATTTTTAGGAATTCCTAGATGCTTGCTAGGCCAGTTTCCTTATCAGGGGAAGGGTCTGGCCTGTAATTTGCCCTGAGGGCTATGAGACCTCCTTACAAGACCTGGAATTACCCAGATCAGGAGAAATTTTTCAGAAACCCAATGAGAAAAAGGAGTCTATCATAATAGACCAACTGAGCGTAAATGATTGGCTATCTGGAGATAAAAATGGTAAAAATTTTAAAAACATACTAAGCCAGTGGCGATATATGATTGACAAGTCAGCATATGGTCATGTTCAACATCACTGGCCACATAAAAAAAATCAAATGAAAGCCATGATAAGACACCACTGCACCAATATTAGAATATTACCAATTGAAGTGTCTAACCATACCACATGCTAGGAATGTGTAGAAGAATTGAAATTCTCTTAAGCTTCTGGTGAGTTTAAAAGGCCTGTTTATCAGTAGTGGGTACTATGGCCAAGTGATGTAGAACAGAATTGAAAGAACTGTGGCATCGGAACTCCATCTTACTCATCAATGTAGAATTTCACGTTTCCTAGCAACCAAGCATCAACAGGGAAACAGTAACTTATTCTGGAGCAGGGGCCTCAGAGCCAGAGATACTATGGGGGACCAGAGGTTACCAGAGAACCAGCCTCATAGGGTACCCAGGCACAAGCATGTCTTAAAGTGTAAGAAGAAGAAACAGACATTCCCTCCTGTCATGGAGGACCATCACCAGCAGTTTTTTCAGGAAGAGCTGGATGACTCTACTGGAGACTATGAGCCATGTGAAGAGATACTATCACGAACCAGCCGGGGGACCTTTCTCCCCAGAATTTCTCATGAAGTCTTCACTATTGCCACTAAGAAGAGTCAGGGAAAGGTATCCAAGAATTTGGAATTGTTTTACTCAGTCTCAATGGAGAAGCAAGGAAGCAGAAAGACTCAACACAAACTGGATCATTTGTCTCAAATGGAAGATGATGCTGAAGATTATTTCACAAATTTTCTGCAGATGTCAAAAGATGATCAGAATCTGATTAAGTGGCCTCTCTTGAAAAATCAAACGGAAGCAAATAAGAACAGCAAGCGTGGGAAACACCTTCACAGAAAACTCGACTTAGGAACTCCTGAGAAGTGCAAATCATGCCAAAAAATTTTTTTTCCTAGAGTCACATCCATCAACCAGAATTTGCTTGACTCCCTTAATTATAGATACACACAAAGAGGAAGTGATGATATCAATGAATGGGATGAAGCACCGGAAAACTCGGATGTGTTGCAACAATTTGACAAGGACTATGTTTACCAACCAACTTATGAAGACTCCTCAGACAAGAAAATTAGTCATCTTCCTTCCAAGATCAAGTACTTCCGAGGGTTAAGCAAAGAAAAGGACATGAATATCTCCAAACAGGAATCAAAATTTGAGATGAAACTCCAAAAATCACATGATCTTTCTATGTCCAACAAGGAAAAGTTTGAATATGGGCTGTTGTATCAGACACCAAAGCAGTTAAAAGGAGTAGCCACTGAAGAGTCTTTAACTAACACCAAGAACTTGCTTGAAATTCAAGGTAAAAGCATTTGCGAACCAGATGCATTTGAAAATCTCTATAGCATAATTGCCTTTAAGGATTTCATTGTATACAAGGGCTATGATATGCCAGTCATACTCAAGAAGTTTTTTATGAAAAAGGGATGGAATTACAACTCTGTTAATACTCCTATACCAACTGTATTAAAAGAACATGAAATGAAAATGCAGAAAACAGATGATGAAGATGAGGAGAATGGTGGAAAGGAACATGACTGCAAGATTTTCCTATCACCACATACTTAACTGTGTCCCCCATTCATTTTGCATTTAAGATGCATTGGGTGCCAGTCTTTGACATCACAATGGCAAATGTAACACATAACATACAATATTTTTTCTGAATGACATTATGCTTTGCCTTCACCAACATTTTTGATATTTTATAGAGTGTGAGGTTAATGTTAGAATCTACTTTTCTCATGCATTTTTTATCGACACTGTTACATCATTTGCAAAACTACCTAAATCCAAAAAATAAAAACAGAATTACTCTGAATAAAAAGACTCAATATAATCATTTTGCAAAATGGGTGAAAATACTGTAATTGTATTAAAAGACAGAAAATGTGCATAGTTTCCTATAAATTTAAGTATTAAATGAAATGATTATAGAAATAATTTCAACAATGATTTTAATTCTTTTTTAATTTTTTTATTTTTTATTATCATTTAACAATTTATTCAATTTGTATCTCGGCCATGGTTCCCTCACTCAACTCTTTCCAATCCCATCCTCCCTCCCTCTTCTTCCCCTATGTCCCTCCCCTAGTCCACTGATAGGGGAGTTCTTCCTCCCCTTCTATTTGACCCTAGCCTATCAGGTCTCATCAAAACTGGTTGCATTGTCTTCCTCTGTGGCCTTCCAAGGCTGCATACCCCAGGGGAAGGTGATCAGAGAGCCTGCCACTGAGTTCAAGCCAAAGAAAGACCCTGCTCCCCTTACTAGGGAACCCACTTGGAGACTGAGTCTATGTTCTCATCTGAGCACAAGTTTTAGGTACTCTCCATGTATTGTCCTTGGTTGGGGTATCAGTCTTTTCAGGGTCCCCAGGTCTCAGTTTTTACGGCTCTGTTTGTCTCCTTTTGGAGCTACTGTCTCTTCCAGGTCTTTCTAGCTCCCTCTTCTTTCCTAAGATTACCTGAACCCTGCCCAAAATTTGGTCTGAGTCTCAGCCTCTGATTTAATACTTTGATCAGCAGTCTTTCAAAGGCCATCTGTGGTAGGTTCCTCTCTTGTTCCCTGTCTTCTCCTGCTTACAATGTCTATCACATTTGTTCTCCTGAATGAGGACTGAGCATTTTCCCTAGTTTCTTCCTTGTTGTTTAGCTTCTTTAGGAGTATAAATTTTAGTATGTTTATCCTATATTATACGGCTAATATCCACTTAAGAGTAAGACTATACCATGGGTGTCTTTCTGCTTCTGGGTTACCTCACTCAAGATGACCTTTTCTAGTTCCCACCATTTACAGGCAGATTTCATGATTTCCTTATTTTTCATAGCTGTGTAGTATTCCATTGGGTAAATGTACCACAATTTCTGTATCCATTTCTACAGTGAGGGACATGTAGGTTGTTTCCAGCTTCTGGCTATTACAAATAGAGCTGCTACAAACAAGGTTGAGCATATGTCATTGTTGTATAGTTAAGCATCTTTTGGATATATGCCTAGAAGTGGTATAGCTGCATTTTGAGGGAGCACTATTCCTAACATTCTGAGAAATAGCCAGATTGATTTCCAAAGTAGCTATAAAAGTTTACATTCCCACCAGCAATGGAAGAGGGTTCCTCTTTCTCCACATCCTCTCCAACATGTGATGTCACTTGAGGTTTTATCTTAACCATTCAGATGTATATGAGGTGAAATCTCAGTGCTGTTTTGATTTACATTGCCCTGATGACTAAGGATGCTGAGCATTTCTTTAAGTTTTTCACTGCCATTCTGTCTTCCTCTACAGAGAATTGTCTGTTTAGCTCTGTACCCTATTTTTTAATTGGATTAATTGCTTTGTTGGTGTTTAACTTCTTAAGATCTTTACAAATTCTGGATATTAGACCTCTGTCAGATCTAGGGTTGGTGAAGATCCTTTCCAGGTCTGTAGGCTGTCGTTTTGTTCTGATGACAGTGTCCATTGCTTTACAGAAGCTTTTCAGTTTCATGAGGTCCCATTTATTAATTGTTAATCTTAGAGCCTGTGCTGTTGGTGTTCTGTTCAGGAAGTCATCTCCTGTGCCAATGAGTTCAAAGCTCTTACCCACTTCCTCTTCATTCATTTTCTCCATTCATTTGACTGTATTTTCGTGCAATTCTTTTTTTAATTTTTATTCACTTTACATACTATTTGTAGCCCCATCCCTCCTCCTCTCCCAGTCTTGCCTTCTCTCTACTCTTTCAGAATTACTCTGAATAAATAACCTCACTGGTATAATTTTGCAAAATGGGAGAAAATATTATAATCGTACTAAAAGAAAGGAAATGTGTGGAGTTTCCTATAAATTTAAATATTAAAAAAATGATTACAGAAATATTTTTAACAACCAATCTTGAATTCTATATTTAAATGACAGTCAGCTATTTTCCTTTCTTACACATCGCAGCCTTTGTTTTTCTCAGATAGTGGTTATACTCAATGATTTGTTTTTTTATGATTCAATCTACTGTTTATTTCTTTTTTGCAATTTTTGACATAATTTTTTATTTATTACATTTTATTCACTTTGTATCCCAGCTGTAGCCCCACCCTTAATCACAGCACTCAGGAGGCAGAGGCAGGTGGATCTATGTGAGTTTTCCTTCAGTGAGCTGTGCAGAGCACTATCTCTCTTTTTTTGTTTTTGTTTTTGTTTAAGCAATGTGGAAAACATCTCATTTGAAGGAAACCTGCAACAGACATGGGATTCCCTTTCAAAGCGCCTCAAGTTTGAATTCTTTTCAGAAAGAAGTCTCAGTGTGAAGTGAACCAAATTCTTTCACATGTGGGAGACCTTTATCCAAAGACCTCTCTCTTGTTTAGAAAGAATCACTAATATTTTTTAATTATGTGAGCTTACATTTTTGGTTTTGTTGTTTGGAGCTGGATTATGAGTTTTAGTGACTTTTTCTGTCTCTAAAACTATATTTGATACTTAAAATCAGTTTTAACCTACAAAAGTCTCCTAGGAGAATTTGTGAGGTGTCTTGCTTTAGGAGTAAAATTCGAGCCATCTTAGGTAAAAAAAAAAAAAAAAAATGCTGAATCTAGGAAAGCATTAATTTGGTTATGAAAGTCAATTGGAGATGTGTGCCTGTCCAATAAAACATTTGAGTGTTTTATTGATTACAACCTTTACAGGGTTGTAAAGTATTAGAGAACTGTTTAAAAGTTAAAGAAATAGCTTCAAGAAGTTATGTAGTCAGTAAATAGAACCAGTTGTGTTTTTTTCTTCCCTTTTTAAAAGATTACATTTTGTGTGTGTGCGTGTTGGTGTGTAGTTGTGTGCATGCCATAGTGTGAATATAACTTGGAAAGTTCTCTGGGTAGGTACTGAGGGTGGATCTCTGATCATCAGTTTTGGCAGCAGCCCCTCTTACCTGCTGAGCCAGTATAAATGACCTTCCACTGGTTTTTGGTTTGGTTTGGTTTGGTTTTTCTTTTCTTTTTTTTCTTTTTCTTTTTCTTTTCTTTTGTGAGGGTTTCACAAATTGAAGGCTGGCCTGGCCTTGAATTTGATTCATAAAAGTGAGGCTATCAATGAACTCCTGATATGATCCTACTGGCTCAGCTTCTGAACACAGGAAATACAGAAAAGAACCATCCATCATGCCTGTACCCTTAGAACAAGTTTTTCAACCGATGCCTTCTGATATTCACCTAAGGTTCAGCTCATTAAATAATGCCTCATTTTTTATGGGGGTCTCAAAATGCCACAGAAAGATAAGCAAGGAGGTTCACCTAAAGTTTTTAAGGATTTTTGGTTGTTGATGTTGTTTTGTTCTGTCTTTCCAGACAAGGTTTCTCTGTGTAGCCTTGGCTGTCTTGGAACTCACTCTGTGGATCAGGCTGGCCTCAAACTCACAGAGATCCATCTGCCTCTGCCTCACCAAGGGTTCGGTTTATAGGTATAAACCACAACACCCTGCTTTCTGTCTCTTTTTTATGTAACAGCAGCTTCATTTTTAAACAGTTCTATTATTAATAAAAGATTTGTGCTAAATATTCACAACAGAGTTTGGTATGATCTCTGTAGACACTGAGTCCTCCTAACCACTGAATCATCCCTCCACCTCCCCAAATTTTCTTTTTAATTTTTATGATGCGTTGTGTGCTTGTGTGTGCAGGTGCACTTGTGACTGTGAGGATATGGATGCCACAGGACAATGTCAGGTGTCATCCTCAGGAAGCCAATCCAGCTCTTTGAGACAGGGTTTCCTGATGGGCCTGGTGGTCACCAACTAGGTGACAGACAGGTTGGCCACAAGCCCTAAGGACCCTCCTGGCTCTGCTTCCTCAGCTCTGCAGTCACAAGTGTATGCTTTTATTCCCAGTATTATTATATGCATTCTGGCAATCAGACTGGGGTCCCACTCTTGAAGGGCAAGATCCATAACGACTGAGCTGTTACACCTCTTTACAATCTTTTTTCTTTTTCATTAACATGCATGCACACGTCCCGTGTGTGTGTATGGTACACAAGTGTAGGCCGTGTACATGCGAGAGCATGCTTGCAGAGTTCAGAGAACAACTGGGAGCATTTGGTTCTTTTTTAAGCCGAGGTTTTCAGACTTGACAACATGTAGCCTGTATTAGTGAGTAGTCTTACCAGCCTGATAGCTTTGTTTTCTAAGATAGAAAACTAAGTACTAACATGTCAACTTCTCAGGAGTTATGAGTTTGCTCAAGATTAAAATTAGACTCAAACATTTCAGGGTCAAGTTTCATCTTTCAGTATTTACTATTATTTGGAACTCAAAATCATTGACACCATGTGCTTGTTTTTAGTTGATTCTTCCCTTTGATGGATAAAGACAGCTGTTTTATCTACAGTTGACACTAGTATATATGGCTTTGTTAAACCACATTTATTTATTTACTTATTTATTTTATTTACTTGTTTGTATTTGTATGCGCTTTTGCATGCACACTTATGGTGGTCCAAGGACAGTTTGGGTGAGCTTCTTTTATTCCAGTGCTTGAGTCCTAGGAATCAAACTTATGTCATCAGGATTGCTGGCAAATGCGTTTTGCTGGCTGAGCCATCTTCACA